CATCACTCAGAGACCCCCAGGCTCCTGCTTCACCTCTCTGGCTCCTCTTCCTCCCCAGGCCCCTAATATTGGCATTCCCAGGACTTGACCCAGGCCCTCCTCTCTTCCCACCTGCTACCTCAGGAAGTTCACCTCATCCTCAAGCCACTTTGGAGCCGACCCTTCCTCAGGCTTTGCACCTTTTCTAGGAAACTCTTGAGTGTCTCTAGATCTCCTATCCAGGTCAAGGCCCTGCCCTCAGCCTCCACCCCAGGCAAGATCACTGGCTTTCACCTAGGTCCACCATCTCAGAATGAAACATGAGTAAAGGGATTAGTTAGGCTATGAGTAACAAAGACCCAAAGAACTAGTGTCTTACAAAGGGTAGTCATTTATTTCTTTCTCATACAAAAGTCCGGATATAGGGGACCCCAAACTGGAAGGGTTGGTGGCCCAAACTGCCTCCAGCTTCCTGCTCCACCAGCTGCAGAAGGAGCCATTATCCTCATGACCCAAGATGGTGCTCCAGCTGCCACATCCACCTTTTCAGCAACAAGAAGGTACAGGGGAGGCAAAGACACTGCCTATCTCTTAAAGACCCTCCCTTCTTCCCATAGCAAACTGGCTTAGGGCACTTTGTTTATATCCCATTGGCCAGGAGTAAGCTACCTGGCTATTACTAACTGCAAGAGAGTCCAGGAAATGGAGTTTTCATTTAGGAGGCCACGTGCCCAGCTAAAGTGGGAGAACTAATATTGTGGTTGGCAGTCAGCTGCCTCTGTCACACCTTCTTGGAGTCCCCAGTTACTGAGATTGGGCAGGGGAGGTGGACACTTGGATGGCAGGTGGAGAAAAGAAAGGAAAATAAGGAGGGTGAGGCAGGGGAGATTTAGTATCTGGGTTAGAGAAAGACTGTGTGATCTTGGCAAGTCAGTCCTCACGTCTGGGCCTCAGTTTCCCCACTTCTAATAGGAGGTATGACAAGGAGTAAATAAGAAAATGTGTATAAAGCACATTGCACGGTCCCTGGAACTTGCAGGGCCTGGTGAGTGGTCACTGCTGTCACTGTTACAGTGCCCCAGTGCCTTCCGGGACTTGCAACCAAGCCCTCCACCCTCTAGCCTCATCTCTGGCCACAACTCCTCCTATCCCTCTTCCAAAAGCCTCCCTGCACCAGAAACACACTTACCCTCGCTCCTTCAGTCTAATTACACCCATTCTTCAAGACCCATGGCCCTGCTCCATCCTCAGGAAGTCTTCCTAACCCACAGGAGAGTCACCTTGGAATCCTCTGAGCCCACACGATCCTGGGCCCCTCACTACCCTTTTCCCCCACACTCCTGTTGGTGGTTCCTGACCCCAGGGAGCAGAATATCTCCAGGTAAGTGCTACCCATTGAGTGTGCTCTGGGTTAAAGTGAGGAAGAGGGGTGCTGTGGGGAAGAGGAGAAGAGACAAAGTGGGGGAGAGGGGAAGGGGAAATTCAAGTCCCCAAGTGACACTTAGAATCCCTGGTACCAGCATGCGATAAATGGTTTTTCCTTCTCATAGGAACAGCTGGGGTTCAGGGATTATGGTCCTTTTTTTTTTGAGTTGGAGTCTCACTCTGTCACCCAGACTAGAGTGCAGTGGCCGCTCCCAGCCACCACAGCCTCGACCTGCGGGGCTCCGGCGATCCTTCCGCCTCAGCCTTCCAAGTAGCTGGAACTACAGGTGTGCGCTACCACGCCCAGCTAATTTTTTGATTTATTGTAGAGATGAGGTCTTGCCAAGTTGCCCAGGCTGGTCTCGAACCCTCAGGCTCAGGCAATCCACTCACCTTGGCCTCCCAAAGCGCAGGATTACAGGCTGAGCCACCGAGCCTGGGCCCTCCCCCTTTTTTTTTAATGTGATGAGATTTTTTTCGAGTCAGGGTCTCACTCTGTCACCCAGACTGGAGTGCAGTGGCAGGATCACAGTTCAGTGCAGCCTAGAACTCATGGACTCCAGCAGTCCTCCCTCCTCAGTCTCCCACATAGCTGGGACTACAGGTGCACACTACCATGCCCAGCTAATTTTTCTATTTTTTTCTGTAGAGACAAGATCTTGCTATGTTGCTCAGGCTGATCTCAAACTCCCAGGTTCAAACAATCCTCCTGCCTTAGCCTCCAAAGTACTGAGATTACAAATGGGAGTCACTGTGCCCCACAAACTTGTTTTCTTAAAAATTGCTGCCTCCCAGATGAGAGAGAGAGACAAACAGTTGAAACTCCCAACCTAAATCCCTGTTTAGAAACCTCCTATGCCTATTCCTAAAGATAGACCCTGAAGGAACTTGTGTTCCAAAATGCAAAATGATTATAATAGTAAGAATCATTGTTTGCTTGCTGTCTCTTAGGACTTGTTTTAAATGCTTGCACTATTAGTTAATTTAATTCTCACAATAATTTTACAAGTATCATTATTATTCCCACTTTACAACTGGGGAAGCTGAAGCACGAAGAGTTAAAGTAACTCGCCCAGAGTAACACAGCTAGTACATGGTAGAGCCAGGACACACACCCAGGTGGTCTGGCTCTGGAGGCTGCACTTTCCAGGCTATTCTACCTCTCAAAGGGGAGCTGAGAATGGAATTTACCTGTGGGCCACAATTTCCACTCCTGAAAAAGTAACCAAAGGATCACAGCTTTGGGTAGTCTGTCAGGACAGTCATCTGGGACTCTCTACAGGACCCAGCTGGGCTATGAGCAGAAGCCCTCTGTCTCCTGCTCTCTTCTCCGCCCCCTCCCAGGCAATTGAGGAGACCTGTCTCCAGCCTGGAACAAGATGCAGGGAGGTCCTGTCTGTCCTGCTGATGTGGCATGACATCACACAGGGAATAGGAACCAGCCTCTGCTGCTGCACACCTATCTCCCTGTGGTTGAAATGTCACAGCTCCTTCTGTCCAGATGGTCAGCCTCTCTGGCAAGGACACTTTGCATGGCTGCCCAAGGCAGGTTGGATCTGGTTCTCCCACTTCCTCAGCCAGCTGCTAACACCTCTAGACATCACAATAGAGTTCAACCCTCCCAGGCCCTTCTCTGAATGATCCTGTTGCCCAGGAGCTTTGGGGACTAGGCAGAGCTAAAAGAAAAATTGCCCTGTAAGTTATACAGCCCTTCCCCTCCCTGCTCAGTCCCTCTCTGAGCTCTGTCTTTTAAAAAGGAAGACTCTGGACTTCTAATAGGAGGTGTGACAAGGAATAAAGAAGAAAATGGTGACTCACACCTATAATCCCAGCACTTTGGGAGGCCGAGGTAGGAGGATTGCTTGAGCCCAGGAATTCGAGACCAGCCTGGGCAATGCAGTGAGATCTCAGCTCTACAAAAATAAAAAAAAATTGACTGTACATAGTGGCAAGTGCCTGTAGCTCTAGCTACGAGGGAGACTGAGGTGGGAGGATCACCTGAGCCCAGGAGTTTGAGGTTGCAGGGAGTCATGATTGTGCCATTGCATTACAGTCTGGATGACAGAGTGAGATCCTCAACTCCCAAAAAAAAAAAAAAAAAAAAAAGACTCTTTACCAGGGCTAGTTCTTTGGCTTACAGGGTCTGTGTAGTACACCAGCAACTGAGGGCAGGGTAGCCTGTTCTACATGAGAAAAAATAGATCTGGGAGGAGGGAATGAGGCTGGAGGAGAAGCATGGGGAAGGGAACCAGGGGAAGGGAAATGAGAAAGGGCAGAGAGGATGAGGAACTACGGGAGAAAGAGGATTGGTGGGTGCGGGAGTCTTGTGTGGTACAATTCCCCTTTGCTGCTTCCTCCAGAGACCTCCTGTAAAGATTCCTTTCCACGGCCTTTAAAGGCCAAGATCTGTGTCTGAGATACCACCATAGGAGGTGGCCCCAAGGCAGCCTTCCAGGTACCCGCAGTTCAGAATCTTGGACCCGAGAGAGCAGGGGTGGAACACAGCGGGAACAGTCTGTCATGAGACTAACAGCAGGCTACCGGCTGCAGGACTTCCAGGGAGCAGCCTCCTGATGCCCGAGTCCCTCAGCTGCTGGCTTCCCGTTTTAGAAAGAGGCAATGTTGAAGGGTTATTTCCCCTCACCTAGGGACCTGGGGTGGGTACCCTAGGCTCGGAGGATTCCCCCAACACTGAAAGAGACACTTTTGAAGAGGTGGGTGCAGGAGAGGTGGGTCTGGGTCTCTTCCCGGCACTCAATGCTCTGGGCCCATCCAGCTCCTTTTCTGGCCACCGCCTCCACTTGCTTGCCCCACCCTCAGAGAGGTCTTTCCTGACTCCTTGGACTAGCTCATGGGCATCCTTTGGCACGGATGGGCATCCCTTTCCCAGTCATGCTCCCCTTGGTCATAGCCCCAGTGTTGCTGTGTCAGTCTGGTGCTTACAGCCATGCTCAGCTCATTTTAGACTCTGAGTTTTGTATACACTGTGCCTTCCACAGGGAGCATGCCACTCTCCCTTTGAATTCCTCCTGGCTCAAGCCCCAGCTCTTCGAAAAAGCCTCCCTGACCGCCCGCAACCTGGAGCCTTGTCTTGCTTTCTCAGCTTTCACACACGCGAGGCCACACATCCTCTGCCCTAGCCTGCTGCCTGCCCGCCCAGGGCACAGCCCAGCACAAGGCCAGCCCGGGCTCGTTAAGGTGCTCCCCACCTCTGCTTGCTGGGCCCCCATTCAGCCTTTGACATCTGATGCTCCCTCCTCAGAGAGGTCTTTCCTGACTCCTTAGACTAGCTCATGGGCATCCTTTGGCACGGATGGGTATCCCTTCCCCAGCCATGCTCCCCTTGGTCATAGCCCCAGTGTTGCTGTGTCTAGCAGCTGGGATCCGTTAGGGGTCAGGGCTGGGACTAGTTCTTCTGGAGCCCCAGAACCAACCAGGGCTGAGCACAAGGTGTCAGGAAAGATTTGCTGAATAAATGAAATATCACTCCCTTCCAGGGAGCTCACAGTCATCCCTCAAAACCAGCTCCAATACTCCCTCCCATCTTCACTCACCCACTTCACTGGTGACTCCAAAGTATGTAGCACACCCCTTGATGACAGTACATGTCACCCTATATTTTTGTGAGCAGCTTAACTCAGTTTCCCCAACTCTCCATGGCTGACTGGTTCTCAAGAGAAGGCCCAGACCTGTCCGTCTCTGTGCCCTCAGGGTTTGGTCCAGAGAAATGGCTCAATAAATAATTGTTGGTGGACTTCTGGGACCGCACTCCATGCTCAGCTTTGCTGAGCTCTGATTCTCCATATGGTTTGCGATTGGGGGGACTGCCTATGCCCTGGTCATGACAGCAGACGCGATAGCCACCTGGGCCCTGAGTGTCCCGCCCTGGCGAACTCAGCGGCCCCTCCTCTGCCACTTGGCGGTGAGCTTCTGTATGAGTGCGTGTGGCCGCTGGCGGAACTTCTTCTGGGTGAAGTAGAAGAGGATGGGATCCAGCACGCTGTTGGCGCTGGCAAAGGGCCGTGTGCCCTTGTAGGCGGCCGCAAAGGCCTCCAGCACAGGGCAGGAGACGCCCGGCGTGGAGCGCACTGCCAGGTAGGCTGTCTTGGTGACGTGGAAAGGCAGGAAGCTGATGGCAAAGACGGCGGCCACCACCACAGCCACGCGGGCCGCCTTGCCACGCCGCTCCTGGGCCACAGGCCCCGCTGGGCCGTCCTGGCGGCACAGGCGGCGAGCCAGGCAACCGTAGCAGGCCAGCAGTGCGACAAAAGGCAGCAGGAAACCGATGACCGTGAGGGCCATGCCGTAGGGCAAGTAGCGGGTGGCCAGGGCGGGTGGGCTCAAGTCATAGCAGACCGTGCGGTTACGCTGCATGCCCGTGGCGGCGAAGATAGCCGTGGGCAGGCACTGGGCTGTCACAGCCAGCCACACGGCTGCACACACTAGCCAGGCAGCCCGGCGGCCCCCACGCTTGTGCCAGGGGGCCAGCGGGTGGCAGATGCCCAGGTAGCGCTGGAAGCTGATGCAGGTGAGGAAGAGGATGCTGCCGTGCAGGTTGGCGTAGAAGAGAAAGCGCACCAGGCGGCAGGCAAGGTCGCCGAAGGGCCAGTGGTCACCCTGGGCATAGTTGTAGATGAGCAGGGGCAGGGAGCAGGCATACAGCAGGTCAGCCAGGGCCAGGTTTAGGGTGTACACGGCCGAGCGGGTCAGGGCCCGGCGGGACGTGTAGATCTGGGCAATGACGCAGACGTTCAGCAGCAGACCAGCCACCAGCACCACCGAATACACAGGCACCAACAGCAGTCGCTTGAAGTTCTCACGGTAGACACAGGTGGTGGGTGGCAAGCTCAGAGCCTGGCCTGTGCCATTGTCCCACTCCATAGCTGCCCAACCAGATGTCCTATGTTCAGAGAGGCTGGGGAAGCAACACACAACCTGTCAGTGACAAGCTCACTCCCTGCCCAATGGGCCCTGTCCCTCCCTGGACCCTGATCTCCCCATCCGAACAATGAGGGCACCAACTTTGTCGTTGCTTATATTCACACCACCCCACGGGGGACCCACACAGCCCCCACCTCAAGGAAACCTGGAATACATTAAAGTGCAAGCTGTGAGAAATCCAATCTGCTTTCTGTAGTGTTCATTTCCCTTCAGCCATCCCAGTGTACTTGTGTTCATTCACTCTTCAAAACCCTGGTCATATGACTCCGCGGTTAGTGGAGGTTGATGGGACTTGGGTTTGAATCTCAACTCTGCTACATATTAGTGATGTGACCTTGGGGTAGTGGTTTACCTTCTCTGAGTCTCAGTTTCCCCATCTGAGAAGTGGGGGAATGGTGCACGTGCCTCTCAGAGATGTCATGAGGCCAGAAGCACTAAATCATGCGACCCAGGGCCTCCCCTGGGCTCCTGAAGGGTGGAGATCGTGGTTGTGGTGGGTCTACATGTCTCTCAGACTGGGACCTTCCTGAGGAGAAGTGCCAGGTCTGGAGTCTCTGTGTTTTAGAACCCAGCTCGGGGTCCTGGACCGAGAGGGCCTCCTGACTCCCAGTTCACCGATATGAGGTGCACACACCAGGAGCTCACTGGGGACGGTGTCCACCCCCTCGACCAGAACGCCACTTTCCAAGGCCATGGTCCTTCTTTTAGCCGCAGTCTTGTTATCTGTAAAATACGGGAAGGAGGTGATTCAGGACTTCCCAGAGGCCTCTTTGCACTTGACTTGAGCCTTCAAGGAGTCTAGTAGAGCCGCTGCCACAGCACCCTCTGGTGGCCATAGTGAAAACAGCTTGAAGGCCCATAAATGAGCAGCCAAGTCAACTACTGACTTTTCAGCGATGGAAATCCAGGCGCAGTGAGAGGCTCAACCCAACTGCCTGATTCAGAAGAGACAACTTAGCGTAGCCCATGGATATGGACTGTAGAGGCAACGAGCTTGGCAGGCCTGAGTTCAGATGTGGCTCTCCTGCGTCCATGCAGTGTGACCCAGGTCTTGTCACTTGTCTTTTCTGGCTCAGTGTCCTCATTAGTAAAATGAGACATGGGCTGATATTCAGTAAGTGCTCAATAAATGCCATGCCATTGTATCCCTTACTTTGTCCTTCCTCTCATCCTTTCAGGCTGGGTTTTGGAGGAGCCAATACAGATGCCTTCAGGGGGGCCCCGGTGAGGTAAGTCTGACTCCAATCTGTCTCTAAATGGACATCTCCACATTGCTGGTGACTAGAGAGTATTTACAACTTGAATCCAATCGACCTGTAAGGCAGAGCCTTTGAGATCACGGGTCTCATTCTCCTCTCTTCCCACTTTACAGAGGAAAAACTGAGGCCCAGAAAAAATGTGAAGTTCTGCAGATGCACTCAGTGGGTGGTAAAGGATTTGAAACCAAGCCTGTGAGCTCTGGTCCAGATGCCCAGGTTCAAATCCCAGCTCTGCCATGGGTGAACTGTGTGGAATTGGGCACATCACCTAATCTCCATGCCTCGGTTTCCCCATCTCTAAAATGGGATAACACAGCGCTGGCCTTGCAAGGTCATTGTGGGGCTCAGTGCCTGGCACAGAGCCATCATGTGTCAGCTGTTCTTAATATACTGCTCGGTAAGGTTACAGGATTTTAAAAAGTTATATGAGAGCTAAACAATTCCTTCCAACTTAAAACTGGATTTTGATGAAACCGTTTTACCCCAATTCCGGGTGACACAGTAATGTGTGACTCTTTAGTCTCATCCCACACCCATATCATCTCTAGTTATCAAAGGTTCTTCGTGGGGCTTCAGTTCATAGGCTGGGAGTGCAGGTGTCAGCTAGGAGAAGGGAGGCAGGTGGGGGAGGCCAGAGGAAGACCTGCGGCCGTCTCCCACAGTGGAGCCAGGAAGCCAAGATCAGTACAGGCAAGATCATTCCTTCATTTACTGTTCTCTCATTCATGCATTTGTTCCCTTGTCTTCACACGCATTTATCGAGTGCCCCCTGCCTGCTGGATACAGGAGGGCACAGCAGAGAGATGGAGATGAAAATACAGCTATGCTAGTCTGAGGGAAGAGACCAGCGTGAGCCACAGGACGAGGGGACTTTCAGAAAAGAACAAAGAATGGAGGAAGACTCCGGTGGTTGAGAAGGATTTCCATAGATGGGAAAGGGGATAAGGACACCCCGGGAGGGGAGGAGGTTAGGACAAGAAGAATCTGAGAGGAGACCAGTTTGCGAGGGCAGAGGGTTGTGATAAGGAGGAGAAACTGGGTAGAGGATTGCTCTGTCCCTCAGACCCCACCCCCAGGGATAGCCCTCTGTCTCGGGTGATTGTAGACTGCAGTCGTTTCTGCCCCCCACACATCTGGTGAGACTGGTCCTCCTGGGACCCTCGCCTCTTCCTCTTGGAAGGAGACAGCGGCTGCAGAAAGGGACCAAGGGAGCTGCCCCACCCTCTGGGCAAAGCTGCCGGGCCGCAACAGGAAAGGCAGGCCAGGTTATTGCCCAGCACTCTCATCTCTGCCTTCTGAGGACCTGGGACTCCTGAGCTGTTCTCCCAGCTCCTGGCACGGCTGACTGAGGTGGGGGGCTCGCTTGGCTCCTACCTGCAGGAAGCAGCTGATATTGGTTCTTACACCTGTCACCTGCTCTTGTGTCCTACATCCTGGACCAGCTCAGACCCTGGCCTCTTCCTGGTTCCAGTTACTCTGCCCGCAGTGGGGAGGTTTCTAACAGGGGACTCTGGCTACATCCCTCTGATCTTTGGGGAAAAGTTCAAGCTCCTTTCCTGACATTCAAGGCTCCTGCAGAGCCCTCTGGCCCCACCTGAAGTATCCCAGGTCCTCTCCACCCTGCCTCTCATCCTTGCCTCTTCCTTGCTTGTCACACTGTTTCCAGGATGCAGAGACTGCCACAGACCCAGGAGATCCATTGTCCCTCTCCGGCCTCCCCATCTCTGCTATTCCCATCACACAAAGTGCCATTCAGCCCATCTCCGTCTGTCAAACCCTCCGTGTCTCTCTGGCTCCAGATCCCATCTGCTTTCTCTTCTGATCCCCCAGCAGGATGGAGGCTCTTCCTTGGGGGCCCCCCCCAGTCCCTTGGGCCTCCTCAGGTCAGCACTGGACCCCGCCTGCCTGCCCAAGTCACAGTTCCTTGTGTGTAGCCGCCCCCCACCCACCCCACACTGGCCCATGGTCCCAAGGCGCCCTGCCACTCACATGCAGCCTCTTGTCCTCAAAGTTCGTTGGTAGTCCCAAGTGTGCTGGGGCAAAGGCAAACCTGACCCAAGCTCCCCATCCGCCTGCCCTCTGCCAGGCTGCAGCACCTCTGACGGGGCCGGCAGCTTCCTCTGTTTCCTGGCGAGACTGTCTCTGAATGAAAGAGTCCCCGGGGCCACCCTCCCTGCCACCCCCAACACCACGCCTAGCACCGGGAGGAAACTAGGTTTAGAGAAGCAAGGGGGGCCGAGGGGAGGTGTCCTTCCCAGAACGCTCCTCCACCCCAGCAGGGGAAGCGAGGATGAGGGGGTAGAGGGAGGGATCAGAGGCAGCCCATCAAAGGCCAGCCCCACAGACCTAGAGGTTTTCTTTCTCCTCAGCCTTCTCTCAGTCTTCTCATCTGTCAAATGGACTGGTGGGTGACTGAGGAGCTCTTGCCTCCTCGTGTAGCTGTAGCACTGGCACCACTGGGTGTCCACTCATCTCATCGCCCCAGCCCTCTCCTCCTTCAGCCAGCCTGCCCTTCTTCAATCATTCAATTGCTCATTCACCAACATGACCGTCCACCCATCCCTCTATGTGGCGGTCCGCTTTTGTATGCAGGCATTCAGCCACCTTCTCGCTCCTTTCCTCTTTTCCTTTGCTCCACAAACATTTATTGAGCACCTGCTATATGTCACCAGATCCTCCCACACCTCCCTGGTCAGCAGCTACCATCTCTTCCACAAGGCAGGCCCAGAGCTCCTGAGCAGTGATGGAGACAGAGGCAATACCCCTGAGAACTCGTCTGAGTGAGATTGTTCCTGTCTGTGTGGGGTCCTTCACAGCCCATCCTCACCACAAAACCAGGCCTCAGAGCTGTTGGGGTGATCAGAGGAGGAGATGCAGTTCCTCACTGTCCCCGAAGGCCAGCCCCAGGGACAGCATTCAAGGAGGGTGACCTGGAGGAGGTGGGCTTTGGTTTGGAGCAGCTGAGGCAGCAGCGGAAGGGGAAGGGTAGTGGAGGGAAAGAATGCTGGGAGTTCCAGACCCAAGTTCTTTTTTGACCAAGTTCTTTTTACTCTGTACCCAGGCTAGAGTACAGTGGCATGACCACAGCTCACCGCAGCCTCGACTTCCTGGGCTCAGGCGCTCCTTCCACCTCAGCCTCCTGAGTAGCTGGAGTCCCAGGTTCTCATTCTACCCTTGTCCCACTCACTGCCTGACTGCCTTTCTCCTGCTGAGCCTCCCTGGTAGAATGTTGTTATACTGACCACCAGCATGTGGGGAGGTTAAGATGCCACAAAGGACACTGCATCTTCTGCTCCACAAGGAACTGAGGGGACGCCTAGAACCCAAGAGCAGCAGAGCCCACGATGCCCTTAAAGGCATTGATCTCACTCCAAACCCATTTTTTATAGGTAAGGGGACTGGGGAACTGAATGGGAACTAAAAGTTTGGATCCAACTGAGAAGATTCAGATTTGAACTGCTCAGTGAACACTTGGTCAGTTGCACACAGATTAAGCACCTGCTGCTTATTCCAGCCTGTGCTAGGAGGTCACTTGTGCAGGCTGAGGGCGTGGACCTCCTGATCTGATTTGAGCTGTGCAAGACCCAGGAGGGCAAGGTGGTCTGGCTTTCAGTCCAGCAACTAGCCTTCTTCTGGGTCCCCAGGATGACCTACAGTGGCCACCTCCATCAGGGTGGGTCACCGTCTCTCTCAGGAACGAGAGCAGCTCTGAGGG